CAGTTATTTCATTAATAATGCTAGGACGGCGTGCTTGTTTCTGGATCTAATGCCTCATTATCATCGTTCTTTTCCCTGGTTCCTTTCTCATTGATTTGCAAGCAGGGTCCATCATGAGGTAGTCGCCCTCCTCCATGTCTCCAGGTATACACCAGTCTTCTGTGGATGGGTTAAGTGGTTATGTGTTTTCAAAGTGCTCAATTCGGCCGGTACTCAGTCTGTAGAAACGTGCATTTTCGTTATCATGAACGTCCCCTCCATTTCTTTAAGAGTTTCTTTGTTCTTTTCGGCGAGATAACGTTCTGAAAGACCCACACTTAGTCTCCTACTGAGTACGCTTTTGCACCAGCTGCTTTCTTATTAAACTTTTTCCTCTGCCTCGCCTGAGCTTGTTGCGTGTTGCGCCTACATAAATCGTTTAGCTCCGGCTGACGTCTGATCAAATCCCTTGCATAGACTTGTGGCGATTTCTTCTTTCTTTCTTACTCCGGATAAAAGAAAGTCAGAGGTGAAGCCTTTACATGTCCAGTCAACATCATATGCGAAGTAATTCCTGTGGTGGAATGTTGTGTAATGTTGTAAGCTCCCATCACTTGTGTCAAATATCTGTCCCAATCAGTCATGTATCGGGAACAATGCACCCTCAACATCGACACCAAAATCCGACACCAAACAGTGTTTCTTCTAAGCCATTCGTTTGGGGATTGTATTGCATGTCGTAGAATGAGCCTGAGCTACTTGAGAACGTCTCATGAGCTCCTTAATAAGCTCTCTCTCTCTCTCTCTCTCTCTCTCTCAAAAGCATTTCCGTTGTCTGTTTGGAATATCATCGGGCATCCATGTCCTGCAATCCATGTCCTGATCAGATGATCGCACACCTCCTCGGCTGAGGCAGTTACGCATAACACGGCCTCTGCATATTATCTGAAGCGATCGATCATCACCAAGACCTGATTATAGCCATTGACTGTCATAGATATCTTCTGGTACCACTTCACTTAACTCGGATGACTCGACTGACAATAATGGAAAACTCAACTTCCTGAAAGATATGCCGTAACCCACTTCTCGCACGACTTCTTTATCCCAGGCCTCTCGGATCGTTTCAAAATCCTATGGTATACTTAATCAACTCCTTGATGGCCCATCTGATCATTTTACCTGAATAAAAATTCCGTTTGATAGAGTTGCGGCTACACCATCGCTTTGTTTTTCTATAGGACATTGTCCTCTTCACTACTTTTCCAAGCAACGATGGATATACCGTTGCTGGTTCAGATATAACCTTCCCTATTTTTGCATAAAGTACAGTGTCAAGATTTGGGAACTATCTTTTTTCAGATCTCCTTTGTCTGGTGCCCCAATTTCGATCCACCTTTTCAAGCTACTTGTCATGCTCTTTTTAGTCCGAGAGTCTGTATCTCGCCATCGAATATGTCTTCATAGCTCTCAGGTTATTGTTCAACTTATCGAACTGATGCGCGACATTCTCCATCTTTACACACCAAAGCTTTGCCAAGGGCTTTGTCTCCTCTTTAAATGGTTCTAGGTCTATTCTGACTGCTTCCTTGTGCGGTAATAGGCTCATCAAACGTTTTAACACCACTATCATCTCCAGGTCATCTGCCGCGTTATCAGAAACTTTCTCGCTCGGTAACAGGTAGCGATCACTACCAGGGTTCTGATAGACCTCCTTGTTTGAGTCTCAACCAGTGTTGTTTGGTACGCCAACTCTGACAATTCTGATTCCGTGCTCGAGTTTCTGTCCGAGTACGTGTCAATTTCCGATCCCTTCGAGGTGTGTTCGACAGAAAAGTCTGTCTGAGAGCATGTCTCCACGATTCTGATGTGCATTATCCACTCATCCATCTAAACTCTTTGGACAAAACTTTGTCCAACTGGTCTTGTCCATCTACGTATCCACTTCCTCTAAGGCCCGACTTTTTTCTCGCTCTGAGTTTGTGACTCGTCTACTATCATACCCTGATCGGACGCCTCTAAAGTGACTGTCTTATTCCTAGTCGCAACCTCCTGTTCTTTTTTTCCTGTACGATATCCTCATTAAAACGCTTTGAGGAATTGACGATAAGTGTTGCTGAACTACTGTCTTAAAATCCCTTTCATTTTCTTTGTGTCGGTGTCTTTATGGTTTTATCCGTAACTTGTAACTGACTGTCAGCAAAGCTATGGCTGCTGCCCATTCACGGTCATCTCGAGTCACCTCTCCCTCCAACAAACCACCCAGCATCTGCATCTCGTCTGGTGTGATCTGCACCGTTTTGTCTAGCAATGAGAGGCTCTTCATGTTCATACAAGAGAGTTCCTTTTGAACACGGTTTGAACGTAGCACAGATCCAATGCATTTGGTCCTTCTTGGAAAAGATCTTAATCTCTGTCGCTTTCTCCACTGGTAATTTAGGAATTCCGGGTATAGGCTGTCCTGACTTGTCCAGCCATCTCGTCATTTTGTGCTTGATTATCATATGGTAGTTACCCAACCTGACTGTCCATCGACCTATTAAGCTCTGTTCCATCGAGTAAGTTTTCAACCAGCGTAAGGCTCGGTTGTCCACTCGCAACTTAAAGGGCACTCCCCAAGTAGCCGCTAAAAGGGCACTCCCCAAATTAAAGGGTTGGTGCACCGTATTTCATCCCTTGTCGCTCAAAACCTTACTGCCGTATGCATTCGGACGGATAACTGTTCTTCCATTCCATTCTTGCTCCTGATCCAGTAATCCGGAGATAGCTACAACTGAAGCATCAGTTTTGAGAACAAACATGCATTTATCCGTGGGTATGCCTAGCACTGGCGCTTCGATAGCTCCCGCTTTATGTTCTCGAAGGCTTCCGGCGCACCTTTTTTCCATCCCAATTTTTTTTTACCCGTGTTGCTCATCATCTGCTGCATCGGGTAGACTTTGTCTGCGTATCCTTTTATGATCTCGCGATAATAAATTGCAAGCTCTAGGAAGCTCATCAATTGCGCGTCCGTTTTGGGGGCCTCCCATGTTAACACGGCCTCCACCGCATCCGGATCCGCCCTCACTCCCTTCTCGTCTACCATTTTCCCAGCTACTTTATTGAGTCACTAAGGTTCGCAAATCGCGAGGGTTTGCATTTCAAGCCAGCTCTTTTCATGCAGTCAAAGACTTCATCGAGTGTTTCAAGGTGGCACTCCAAGGTGGGTGTAGCTGTCACTACGTCAGCCACACAGCACATCACGAGATTCCCATACTTCTTTGCTATGCTGGTCGAAGCCTGAGCCATCAGTCTTTGAATGGTCGCCGTCGAATTGCATAAGCCGAAGGGCATCCCCTTCCACTGGTACAAGCCTAACTCAATTGCAAAAGCGGTCTTTTCTTTATCCTCTTTTTCGTAGCAGAACCTGATAGAAGGCAGAACCCAGGTCCAGTAAAGTGAGAAAGGCTCTCGTCTATGCGTGTTTTTGGGTGAGCGTCCTTTATAGTCACCGCGTTCAAGTAGAAAAAGTCGCAGCTGAATCTTAGCTGTCCTCTTTTCTTCTTGGTCATGACAACCCCACAAGTCCAAGGTGACATCGAGGGTTCTATCATGTCGTATTCGAGCAGCATTTCCATTTTCGCTCTGCACACCTCCGTTTTATGAGGTGTCATTCGCCTCGCTCCCTCCCTGCGAGGAACGGAGCCTTCTTCTAGATCATTCTCTACTCATCAAAATTACAATAACCAATATCTGCTTTATGTTTTGCAAAAAAACCGTCTGCTTTCCGTTTTCCTTCCCTATCCTTCTTCTTAGTTGCTCTATCTCCTGGACTCTATTTCATATGAAAAGGGGCGTTCCGGGTTCGAGCAGCTTTTGATATGGTCCGTAGACTTCCAAGAAACGCCCGTGAAATTTCCTTATTCGAATGCCACCCGGCTCGCACAGCTCTCAATTCAGTGCGTGGCTCTGCTTTCCCCAGATAATCCGCATAAATATCCAGATGCCTTGTGGTAAACTCCAAAAGTTCACTTAGATTCCTGATTACCTGGTGTCCCGCCGCCAAGATTATTGACTGTATCTTGCTTCGTTGCGCACCATCCTGAATTTCTGTCCGGAAATCCAATTCAACTTCATGCTCAAACTACTCTCGGTGCGCTGTTATTGAGTTCTCTCATTTTCGAGTTCGAGCCTTATTTTTTGTTCTATTTTCTTTAATTCAAGGCCATTCGAGGCATTTCTTGCTGCAGCCTTATAGTTAATCTTAAAACCGTTAGCTGCGGTTTTAGGCTCTGTTCCACTCGTTTCTTCTATAACGAGTTGTATCTCCTTCATAGTCAGCTCCTGCGGTTTCGCCTTCCCCCGTGCTTCCGCCTCACTCATCAGGGGTGCCTTGCCGGCTGTAAAGCCTGATAGAGCCTCTTCAAGCCTCGGATAATTGTTGTCAGCATCCCAAAATTGCGGGCAATCTGATTCAAAATTGCCAAAAAAACACCAGGGGCCAAATTTTACAATTAATTCTCTTATAAAATCTCCCTGATCTATGACCGACGCTTTTTCGTCTTCAAGGCTAAAACCGATCGCTTCCACTAAAACATAACCTCCAACTAATTGATTCAGAAGCATATTAGGAGGTGGAAAATCGTTTTGCAAGCAGAACTGGGACTTCCGGTGAGTGAAGCCTATATTGTGCCAATGAATGCAAAATCCTAGGTGTGATCGGTCATGGCAAACTTCTGTGGGAGTCATTATCGCTACACATGTCAATGGTGGAAGCGTCTAGCCACAGAGTGATGATTGATAAGGCCTTCTCCGTACTCAAGTGTGTACGAGAAATCTAGCGACTTTGAAAAGCAGAGCACGAGTGTAAAGTACTCAATAACGCCCCAGCTGTGGACTAGAATGATTCTCCCAAAAGAAGCTTCTCCGCTGGACAATAGGCGTACGATGAATCCCTGCGAGAGGTGAACCTGCTACCAGTATCATTATATCGTCAACTGATTGACCTTCTTTTCCTTTTTAACATCCATGACTAATTGTTTTGATAAACTTATTAAATAGTTTCATGTGATAGGATACGCTCATAATGGTACGCTTGTAAGAAAAAAGCCTGGTACGGGAATTTAGAGACAAGTTCGTCAAGCCGCGATACACCCCCTCTACCCGGACATCCCCGCCAGAACCTCCACCCGTGAAAAACCAGGTTCTAATTACTTTCATTTCTTTTTTATTTGTTTGTTAAATCTAATTCTCCACAATCGATTTAACAATCTATTCTTTCCCTTGTTTTGTCTGATTTGTACCCTGTTTAGTGAATGTCCTTACCGAGGTAGAGGCCGAAGTGGCTACCCAAGTGGAGCAGGAAATTGGTAATAGGAACCTCAAGGACCAAAGATGTCGGAGCCACCGTTCACTCGTGTAGAGGTGCAAAACTAGCCGACCTTGCCGCTACTGTCTCACACTACCCCTCGCAGAAACTGAACTGTGTTACTATAGTAGCCGACTTTAATGATAACTCATCTACGGTTTCTGACCTTGCTAGTGATTGGAGATTTTTTTAAATAAATTTGATAATTCATAAGTTTAACACAAATGTGCTTATTATCCCCAAAACCATCCTCTCTGCAAATAAACAGTTCATAAACAGAAAACTTGGTGCTTTAAATAACCCTTTGTTTTGCGTTTTTATTACATTTTACCACTCAAGAATTTGAATTTTTCCCCCAACTAAACGTTATTTTTAGTGCTAATATGTTTTGTAAAGATGGTATTCATTTTTCCTTTTATGGCAATAAAATTTTCAGTTTATTGCTCGCGCAGCTAACTTGTATATATTCACCATAAAATTATCCTCCTCGCTGCCAAATTATGGCCGATCAAACAAACTGCCATTTTTGCAAACGCCACCTCCGAAAAGGAGGCATATGAAGTGTCATTTGCAAAGCATACATCCATGTCTTATAATTTAATGGAAGCAAGGCCTATTTGACTTTCACTGAAGCGAAAATACTCCAAATTAGACCTCCAAAACAGAAGAAGTCCGAAGTAAACGAGGAAGTTAATCAATTCGATAAACTAATGAGTACAGGCAAAATATCTGCCTCCATTGGCTGCCTTTCAGACAAGAAAACAAAAGGAGTACTTCCCCTAAACGAATTCATTGAAGGAAAAACAGTCCTTAACATCCTGAAAGAAAAACACCCCCCAGCCAAAACAGCGAACACTAACTACACAACCGAATTAAATGAAGACACAATGCCATACCACTCCTCTATATTCGAACAAATAAAAGCCAAGATTTTGGAAAATCAACCCTGAAGAGGCACGGAAGCCACGGTCCCTCAGGTCTAGATGCGTGGGAACGGAGAAGGACGTTATTTCACTTCAACCAGAGATCCATTGAGCTTTGCAAAACAATTGCTAAACTATCCTATACAATAGCAAGTGAAGTTGTCCCACATGAAAACTTAACAGCTTACAACTCGTGTCGCCTGATACTTCTGGGCAAAAATCCAGGGGTACGGCCCATTGGTATAGGTGAGGTTCTGAGAAGAATAATTGGCAAAAAAATCACCCAATGTATAAAATCAGACCTTAAAAATATCGGAAAAAACTTTCAACTCTGCTTAGGCCAGAAGTGTGGAATCGAATATGCTATCCACAGCTTGAGGAAGTGTGACATTCGACCAGAACTGACAAAAAAGGCCATTTCGAGTTATTAGCCGCTGACCTTGAGAATTGGCAGTTTTAGCAGATTAGCGACGTTATTTGAACAAATAGACAAACTGTGAAGGTCAGAATATTCTGGTATGTTCAGAACAATAGTTGCGACAGAAATAGCAACGGGAAATAGAAAATAAGAATTGAACAAATCAAGGAGTTGACAGAGACCGCTCCGAGTTGTAACGATTGTGTCGCTACAATCGTTACGAAGCCATTCACACCAACGGTGAAGGGTGGAAACCAGCCTTCCAGAGAGGAAATAAATGTGTTATTTCCACGGATTCAGGAATCCGGAGGGGCCTCGAGACCTGAACTCGAACTATTTTATACGAAATTTTAGCTTACTGGTTATGTCCTGAATTGAATTTATTTAACATCTGGATTCATTTTCTGACAATGAGAAGCTAGGAGTAAAGGGAAAGGGTTGATCCATCTTCGATGGAGATGATGATTTTTATCTATTGAAACAAAAACAATGGTAATATTATGATTAGTAGTAGCCCTGTTTTTAGGAGTGGCCTCGTGGTCTGGGGATACTGAGACCCAGCCATGAGCTCACTATTCTCGCATATAATTAAACTAATTTGAGTGTTTTGACCGAAGCCGAAAGCAGTAACGTTTTTGTCGACCCGATGTTAGAAAGACCACCAAAAGAACTGGCTTTGGTAGAGACGGTGAAAAGCATGTACAGCTTTGTTGAGACGCTAGCCAGTCATTTTATAGCTAGCTTTATTTTCCGACGATATGTACTTCCGGGCGAATGTTACATAGATGTTTTTATGGCGCTCCTGGTTGTTATTCCTTTTTAACATCATGACCGGCAGAACCGTTAACGAGCAATCCGCGCCCTTAATAGGCCCTAACCGCCGGGGCAGAAGGTTAATTCGGAACACGGAAGCCTTCCGGATTCCCGTGAATAGCTTTTTAACCAAGTTAAGACCGAAAATCCACGTTCCAGGAAGGGTGGGGGGATCGGCCGTCCCCTCGTTACCTGAGAGGTTTGTGACCAAAAATGCTTAAAGATATATAAGAAACCAAACAAAAAGTAGTATAGTACCCAAAAAAAACAAAAAACAAAAAAAAATTAACTGAAAAAACCAAAAACAGTAAAAAAGTAGAAATTCAGTAGAAATCATCCCCCCAGACGAGATTTGATCCGACCCTCCCGTTTGTTGTTGTTAGATACACTGTTGTTACAGGCAATTATATCAGTCAGGATCGTTACGATCAACTTTGTGGCCCGGTTGTGAGGTTTGTACTGTAGGGTTATTTGGGTATTTAAGCACGTTAACGCTAATTTGCGCTCAATCCGGAAGGGTCACGGGATTAGCGGAGAAGACTGTTACGGCAAGCAGTTCAAGGAGCAACAAGAAGGGGCCCAACGACAACAACAATCGACTGTTGGGTATCGCTAACAAGTTTTGTATCCCTTTAGGTACAAAAATAAGATTGTAACCTGTGGGGGGCTCGACAGTGCTGCACTGTAGTGACCCTTCACGAACTGCGAACTTCCGAGTTAAGCACCTTAATTCGGATATTGAACAAACCCGCAGGGGTATAGTATTAATAGTATTAATACTTATACAGCCAATATTAATACTCTTATGTCGTTTCTCAGTGAAAAACACAATAAGCGGACCGGTTTTTAGGGTCAAAATAGCGACATTTTGATCCCCCCACAAATCGCGATTTTTGAGATTTCAATTTTTTTGAAATAAAAAAGCACCAAATAAGTGTGTTACATTGTAACTGTACTAGTATAATAGGTAGAACCGGTTGAGTTTAGTTCAGAAGTGGTTGGAACTATTTGGGTACCAAAAACCGAATTTTCGTGATTTTTGAAAAAACGGAACACTATAAAATAAAATTTTTTTTTGGAAATTTTGGAGTTAGGACAGTGAAAAGTGTTGTTCGGACAACGTCCACTAGTGAATCGACCGGTTTTAAAACCCGTTTGCCGATAATCTTCCGGGTTACAGAGAAATCGAACTTAATGTGTTTGATTTAGTGGATTCATCAATCCGGAGGGGTCCAAATAGCATAGTTTTTTTGCAAACTTTTTCAGCTAGAGCGTTTTAGATAGGGTTTTTGCGTTGATCTTGGTACCATTACATCAGAAATTATCTGAGCTTACCAATAAAAACATCAATTATTCAAAAAATTAAGCGTGAAAATTTTTTGAGACAGTTTTTAGCAAATTCACTAAATCGGGAAGGTAGACCCTTCATGTTTTATAAAAAAATTTTGGAAAGCCCTTACACCCCTACCAAAACGTGGTAACGGTTAAAAAAGGCATTTTTATGCTGTTTTAGACAAAAAGGGAAGGCTAAGGGCAACAGAAAACTTTAGTCAAGTCAAAAAAAGGCTAGCTATAAGACCCTTCACCGTTAAGGTGAATTGTCAAATAAGAGGCTTAACTGCAATCCGGAAGGGTCTTGGTAAAGAAGATACAACCTTCCTAGTTATTTCGAACAGCATAATAACATCGGAGAACGTATCCGGAAGGGTATCGGTTGAGGATTTAGAAAGTCTCCGAGAAGCTATTTTTTCAAACCCGGAGGGGTCCCAATCCGGAGGGGTCTCAATTTTGCCAATCAGGAGGGGTCTTATTTTTGCAAACCTGCAGGGTCGCAATCCGGAGGGGCTCAATTTTGATAATCCGGAAGGGTCTTATTTTTGCCAATCCGGAGGGGTCCCAATTTTGCCAATCCGGAGGGGTACTGTTTTTGTCAATCCGGAGGGTTATTATTTTTGTTAAGGACTTAGGTAAACAGAAGAAAAGATAGTAGTGAGAGGTATTAGGTTAATAAAAGACAGTCTAGGAACCAGTAACTGCACTGGTAGCTTGCCTCTCATAAAAGACCAGACCAAAACAGAACAGGTCCAAACTCGGATATTCGCGACACTAAGTCTAAATAAAAAACAAGAGTGTGTAACTCATTGGTGTGGATTGATTTGAGAAAAGTGATTGCCCTGAGGATTTTAGTAGGTCTAGCTCGGGCAGTCCGAAGGCAGATAGGTAAAACAGGACTCGGTCGGTGCAATAGACGCCCACTTGAGTAAATTACTGCCTTCAAGTTTTGTCTGTTTCGTGCAGCACCAAGCAGGTAAAGCTCTTTCTTTAGAAACAAGTTCGACTATTGTATTGCGACTGACTAAAAGTACAAAAAACATACGTTTTTCATAGAAAAAATTCTTATTTCTGTTGTTTATGGTTTTAAATCAATAATATTTGTGCTTGATTGGGTAGTGAGAACACTATCTTTTAAATAGACTGATATCATCATACTGTGCTAGCTCTCACATCTTACGACTAATAATCGATTATTATGAATAAATT